GGGAAGCATTTGCCTCCTCAACCCTAGTAATCTGTGACATGAAATGTTTACCACAAGCAACTTTCCTCACTGTCACCCAGTGTCTGAGTCCTCTGAGCAACTCCCAGCAAGAGGGCCAAAGACACCACCACAGTACCACCCCGCATTGGAGCCCTTCCTCAGGTGGAGTCCTTCTCCCTCTCCACAGATCCCTCCGGCTCTGTTTTCTGGGGATCTGTAGGCTACTTGGATTTCTAACTGTTTCACTAACCTAAACTCTTTTTTTTTTTTAATTTATTTATTTATTACATATACAGTGTTCTGCCAGAAGAGGGCACCAGATTGAATTGTAGATGGTTGTGAGCCACCATGTGGTTGCTGGGAATTGAACTCAGGACCTCTGGAAGAGCAGTCAGTACTCTTAACCTCTGAGCCATCTCTCCAGCCCCATCTAACCTAAACTCTTAACACCTCCAACCCATTATTTCACTGGGCACTGTGGCCTTGGTCCCCAGGTACCTTCCATCCTTGACCTTGGGGAAGTCTCTAGTCCAAAGGACCCTAAACATCTTCCCCAGGACCTGGTCTACATAAGCAGCTCCATTTCTGTTTCTGAATCATTGGATCTGAACATGTAAAGACTACTGGGGATGGGATGTGGGAGCTGGGGAATTATGTAAAACAACAGTTGAGGAAGACCTTGGGTTTTGGTGTTGGCTTCAGGTGATGGGGCTAGAGACAACAGGGGGGATGGTAGTTTTTTTTTTAATCGAGACAGGGTTTCTCTGTGGCTTTGAAGGCTGTCCTGGAACTCGCTCTTGTAGACCAGGCTGGTCTCAAACTCACAGATATCCGACTGCCTTTGCCTCCTGAGTGCTGGGATTAAAGGCATGCGCCACCAACACCCGGCCGTCTTTTCTTTTTAAGACTGCCTCTGCTTCCTGAATGTGAGTTCAAGGCCAGCCTGGTTTACAGACTGAGTTTCAGGATATCTCTACTTCCAATGAGACAAAGTCCATGATCTGTATGTAGACTCTGGGCCACCATCAGGAAATTAGTGTCAGGTTGGAATTGAATTATGGGATCATTAGTTGGTGGAGGAGAATCAGAGAATTTGTTGTAGAAATTACATGGGGCAGAACAAGTACATGAAGGAGCCCAAAGTCTGACTCAGTACAACAGGGCTGGCAAGCAGCAGAGCATAGAGAGGCAGGCTCCAGGAAAGATGTGCACGAACAGGTCTGGGAAGACGGGAAGACTGCTGTGGGTCCAGAAACCAGTGGTTTTGACTTGACTCAGGAGAGTCTCACGCTTTCAGGGGAAGGACAGGGCTTTTAATGAACTATTACTTGCTAAAGAAGACAGTATGGTGGTTTGGAAGGAAATGGCCCCCAAAGAGAAAGGCACTATTAGAAAGTGTGGCCTTTTTGGAGTGGGGGTGGGCCTTGAGGTCCCCTACGCTCAAGCTATGCCCAAGGTCACAGTTCACTTCCTATTGTCTCAAGCTCCTTCTCTAGCACCTGTAGACAGATGTTTCTGTTCCTCCTGGTCCTGCCTCCCTTCATCCCCAGATAAACACACAAAGACTTATATTAATTATAAACTGTTTGACCGATGGCTCAGGCTTCTTATTGGCTAGCTCTCTTAATTATTAACCCATTACTATTAATCTATGTATTTCTACATAGCCTTATCTTACCAGAGACTGCCTGGAGCATCCTTTCTTCCTGGTAGCTACATGGTGTCTCCTCGGGCTTCTCTCTCCTCCTCTCCCCAGAATTCTCCTCGTCTGGTTGTCCCATCTATACGTCCTGCCTGACTACTGAATAATCAGTGTTTTATTCATCAACCAATAAGAGAAACATATATTCAGAAGGACATCCCCCATCAAGCATCATGTCTGCCTGCATGCTGCCATGTTCCACCATGATGATAATGGACTAAACCTTTAAACTGTAAGCAAAGTTCCCCAACTAAATGCTTTCCTTTGTAAGAGTATCTGTGGTCTAGAGACTACATAGAGAAACACTGTCTCAAAAAACTAAAACAAAAGAGTTGCTATGATCAAGAACAAAATGAAACAAAAGAGTTGCTGTGCTTATGGTGTCTCTTCTCAGCAACAGAAACCCTAACTAAGATGATGTGCCTTAAAGTCGTATGAACTGATGCCTTAGTTTGGATTTTTATTTCTCTGAGAATACACTATGACCTTGGCAAATCTTATAAAGAAAACATTTCATTGGGGTGGCTGCCTTACAGTTTCAGAGGCTCAGTCCATTATCATCATGGTAGGGAGCATGATGGCATGCAGGCAGGTGTGGTGCTGGAGCTGAGAGTCCTACATCTTGCAGACAACAGGAAGCTGACTGATAGTCATACTGAAGGAAGCATGAGCAAAAGAGACCTCAGAGCCCACCCCCACAGTGACACATTTCCTCCAACAAGGTCACACCATCTAATAGGGCCACTCCCTCTGGAAGCTATATTCTTTCAAACCATCCCACCCATGATCCCTGGACCGGGTTTTATTTTTATTTTAAAAATGTCTATTGATTCAGTTTTCTTTCCCTTCTTTTTTATGGGGGGAGAGTTGGGAGTGTATTTGTAGACAAGGTTTGTGTTAGCCTCTTACTACTTGGCATAAGAACCAAAGGAAAAGGGACTTATTTCAGTCCTGGTGAGCTTTGCATCTAGGCTCACTGCAGCAGAAGCTATTAACTTCATGGGAGGCAGGAAGTGGTGGGGGGTGGAGAAGAAGGAGAGAAAGAGCACCTAGGACACATCCCCAGTGACCTAGTGAGTCTAAAGCTTTATACTTAATTTATCTCTTTATCACAACTAAGAAAAACTTTAAGTCTAATTATTCAGTCTATCTTCATCAAAGACCCTAAAAGGGTATAGTGTTATCTAATGACAGGAACATCTGGCTACCTGGACAGTCATCCAAAGTTCTTCTGTAATATTGGAGCATCCGACTTTGGTCTGCAGGCCTAGTATATCTGACAGACATTTTTGAGAAGCAGGGAATTTTGAAGGACTATCTTACCTTGTCTTGGCAAAGTTTGGCAGTCACTTTCTTTTGTATCCCACTGGTCCAGTTTAGACATTGAGCAAAGACAGTTTCTTTGCTCAGGTAGCTAGTTTTGTTTTTAAATGAACACATAATGGAAAGAGGTAAGTGGGGGAGGAGAGCAGAGTGTCCTTGTGGACTCTGTCCTTTGACACTCAAAACACTAAAGGGGTCTTTCATTTCCCTCACTCCCTTCTTCCCTCTCCCCCTCTCTTCTCTCTCCCTCCCCTCACTCCTCCCCTGTGTCCCTTCTTACCCACCTTCCCTCCCTTCCTTTCCAAAATCAGAAGTAAAAAGTAGGAGCTGGAGATGAGGCCCCAACACCAGACTTCACAACAAACAGCACCGTTAGTGTGGCCCTGCCCAGCCTCGCCTCAGACTGCCATGGGGCTGCCTGGGTCCACAGGAGCCAGCTCCCGTGGCCACATTTAGAAACCAAAGACAAGCACTTCACCCTGGTGTGCCCCCAACTATCACCAATGACACAAAACTAACAACACAAATCTTTTGTGGCATTCAGCCTCAAAATGGGGGACTTTTGCATCCTACTGAAGTACTCTACCACTGAGCCACATCCTCAACCCTTTCAGTATAACAATTATTTGGTCAATCAATTAAAGTTTTTATTAGAAAGGGGATATACTATATTGGCTTACATGGCTTACACTGGCTGTCTGCACACTGGAGAGTCTGGGAACTGGTAGCTGCTGATCCATAAGGCTGAACCCTCAGCAGTTCAACCCGATGCTGAGGGCTGGGAGGACTTCTGGAGAGTTACTGACTTTAGGTTCACCTGGGAAGACTGAAGGGAAGGATGGCAGCAATGGTATCTACTACAGAGTAGATGCACTCACAAGCAAGGACTGAAAGTGGTCAGGCAAAAGCAGCCTATTGTCCAGGATGGCCTAGAACTTAACTTTATAATCTGACTGCTCTAGAACTTGTGATGATACTCCTGGAATTACCAGCATGAGTCACCACAATACAGCAACAACAATAACAATATTATTTATATGTATATATTTTATATGTATATGAGTGTGTGTGTGTGTGTGTGTGTGTGGTAGTTTCTCATCAACCACCAGCTCGCAAATAACAGAGGCTTCTTATTAATTATGAAAGCTTGGCCTTAACTTAGGCTTGTTCCATTAGCTCTTATAACTTAAATTAATCCATTTATGCTAATCTACGTTCTGTCACGTGGCTCCTTTCTCCATACTGCCATGCTGTTTGCTCCATGTCTGGCTGGTGATTCCACCTTCTTCTTCCCAGAGTTCTCTCTGTCTGGAAGGCCCACCTATACCTCTTGCCTAGCCATTCGTCATTTAGCTTCTTATTAAACCAATCACAGTGACATATCTTTACACAGTGTAGTCAAATAATCTTGCAACGTAGGTGTGCACTTGTGTGATGTGTGACAGGTAGCTTGGAGCTTGTAGCCATGGTAGAAACGAGAGACCCTGCCTCAGAAACAGGGTGGAAGGAGAGAACTGACTTCCAAAGGTCCTCTGAGGTCTGTGCCATGTGTGCCATGGCATGCTTGTACCCATACCCATGACTTCCCCAGTGTAACAACAACAAGACTTGCTTTAGAGCAGTAGTAACCCTGATTCTGTGCCCCTCACCTAAGGCTGCGTGAACTAATTGCAGAAATAGGCCCTACTCACACATTCAGTTGATCTGAGCATAAGTACAAGGCATCCCAGAAGAAGTGGCTTTTCAGTCGGGTGATACTGGAATCGTAGCTGGATATCCATGTGAAGTGTTACTTGCATCTTGCTTCATATGACCAGCATCCAAAAACCCATCTCTGTGTGGAGTGTCATACCAGGCTGGAGCTCTGTCCATACTTATGATCCACAGGGAGTTGCTGGTTGGCAGGCAGGTGATGGCTTGCAGCAGTAGGACCTTGGTTCCCAGCACAGGTTGGCTTATACTCATGAGTCAAGTTTTAAACTGCAAGGGTCTGGAGAGAGAAGGGGGCATGTTAACTGCTTGGAATATAGGGGATACTTGGTCTGGCTTACTAGAGGGAGACTGGTGCCTCCCTAGGCTGAGTTGAATTTTTTAAGCTGTATTTTGAGTATTTTTGGTTATGTGTCTCTGTGTGGGCATGTGCATGTGACTGCAGGTGTTATTGGAGGCTGAAGGCATCAGATGTCCTGGTGCTAATATTACAGGCAATTGTGAACTACCCAACATGGGTGCAGGAGGCACCTTCCTGCTGCTTTGGGAAATGGGAGGTGGGTGGTTCTCTTGTCTTGATACCATCATAAGCATACTTCTGTTTACAAATCAGCAAATTTCATTCTGACAAAGGTGGCCAGACAAGTAGAATGTACACAGACTCTTCCCTGAAACTGTTAGTGTGTTTAAGGCAGTAAGAGACTGTATAGGCATTTCCAGTGTCGGGCACACATGCTCGGTTGGCTGTCTTTTTCTCTTAGAGCTTTTTTTTTAAAATTAGGTTTATTCTTTTGATTTTATGTGAGTGTTTTGACTACATGTGTGTATGTACACCGCATGCATGCTTGGTGTCCATGAAGGTCAGGGTTCCGGATGGTTGTGAGACACCATGTGGGTAATGGAAGTTGAACCTTGGTCTTCTGCAAGGGCAACAAATGTCCTTGCTGGCTGAGCCATCTCCCTATCCCCTTAGTGACTTAGTAGTGCTAGTCTACTGGGTTCAGAACATGTGTGTCTGAGAGATGTCCCCACCCCATTAGGTCACCTATGAGCTGAATGAATTTAAACTCAGCTCCTAATCTCACAGGTCTCAGTGGGTCCTGGAGACTGCACTCAGGTCACTGGGCTTGATGGCAAGTGTCTTTTCCTGGCGAGCCATCTCACCAGCCAGAGACCTCTGCTCTTAAAAAATAAATACAATGTAAATGATACGAATAGTCCTTTAAAGGTTATTTCCAGGCTACCTACTGTGTGCCAGGCCTTCTTCCAGATGTCTGGCTGTGCCCATGAACCTCACATTCCAGATAGCTGTACTGCCTCATCAGCTTTTGAGAGAATTCATAGGACAATACACAAAATGTGCACACTCCCAGCCTGGCCCCCAGCGGTTGCTGCTTCATCATCATTCTCTAGAGTGTGTCTCCATGACAACCAAGATAAACACGCCTCCCTAAAGGAGGGGGCCGGTGAATCCTTGAACTTACTGCTGAGAGGCTGAACCTTTTGGAATAAAGATAGAGGGCCGGCTGGGGAAAGAACGGCCTTTGAGTGCACAGTCGCAGGGTTAAGTCAGCCATGAAATTAACGAGGAGTTAAGCCGACTTCCTTCTAGTCACATCTCTGTGGCTAGGCTGCTGGGATAAATGTCTCCCACAAGGTAACCCCATGTCTTCAAGGGAAGCATCCCTTCTTGGGGTCACTATTTTCCATGTGAAACAGAATGCAGGATTCTGCGGCAGACCCAGCCCTGATGGTCCCTGCATTAGAGGTCTACTCTGGCCTCCAGGTCAAGAGCACAGACCAGCTCTCTTACAGCGCACCAAGTGCAGCCTGGCTCCCTCCACCTGCCCTGTTGCCTGAACTGGGAAGGAGCCTGAGGCAGGGGACACACATCTTCTTTAGGTGGCTCTGCCCTGCCCCCACCTGTTGCACCCATCCCTAACCATTGTGCCCAGCCTCAGCCTCTGACTGGATGGCAGGCATTGCTCCTACTTCACATCCAAATAGAAACCACAGCTTCCATCTTCCCAAATAAGCAGCCGAACAATCCCATCCATAAGGAACAGCCCCAGACGAGGAGGCAAGCAATGGAACTTGTGGGAACAGCCTAGAGGGTCACTTCCCCCAGTCTCTGTAGGTCTCCAGATGTGCTGGCTGACCTCTGCCTGTGAGAGGGTGATGGAGTTGGGAGTGTCTGAGCCACCCAGCCTGACATCCCAGCAGCCTTCCCTGGCTGCATCCCCCACCCCCCAACCCCCACTTCATCACCCTCAGATCACAGCCCTTCCCCTGACACACCCAAAGGTCCTATCCCCCTGCCTCTGCACCTTGGAGCTTGTTCTTTCTAGCTGCTTTTATGGGAGCGCTGCACACTTTTCCTCCTTTTAGCAGAGGTGGCAGGAGCCCGGTACTCACACAATTCAGCCACGGCGTGCTGCTGGAACAAAGCTTGCAGTATCAGAGGCTCAGGGTGAAGATGCAGGCCACACCCAGGCCAGTGGGGCTTGTGGGAAAAGGAGGAGGACAATGGATGACAACACTGACTCTTCACAATCGGCTCAGAGGAGGAAGAGGCCACATCTACTTGTGTCTTCTTGGCCACAGCAACCTTATCATTATCATCTGTCGTGGGGAGGGGCTGCTAAAGGAACCCGGAGCCAACTGTGCAGTCCACAGCAGGCCATTCTTGGATAAAAAAACCCCACTGCATAATGTAGGCATAGACACAGATCAGGGACCTGGTAAGCAACTGTCCACCCCAGCCTGGTGAGAACCAGAGTGATCTGGGATTTCACAATAATCGCAGCTCTAAGAGGATGGGCAGAGGGACACAGGCTGCTCAGGGAAACAGCTGGAAGGCTGAAGAACTCAGAAGATGGTGAGACTGATGGAGAGGGCAGGTACCCACAGGAAAGGTGATCAAAGGTGGGGAGATGTGACCAGAGGAGGGAGTGAAGTAGCCCCAAGGAGGGAGGGTGACCACAGTGTCTGGTGGGCCCACCTCACCCATTTGCCCCACAGCAGCCATGCTGGAAAGCCACTCTGGATAGCTACCCCCTCCCCCATGAGCTTGCCTAGGCATAGAGGGAATTCACTGCTGGTGGACTTAGTCTCCATGCTCTCATTTTCCCTCCATGATCCAGGGCTCCCGGAAGGTAGGCCGCCTGCTTGCATGGGGACAGAGCCAGCAGCTCAAGGCCAGAGGCTTTCTTCACAGTGCTTCCTGGAGCCAGGGGACCTGGGACTTTTCCCACCCAGGTAGGACAAGGCCCATCCTCAACCCAGACGTGGCACCTAGGCCCTCAAGCCCACAGGCAGGAGAGTAAGCCTCATATAGTTGCTCTTTCTAGGGATATCACAGAGCTGTGGCTCTGGGGGTTCTCAGAGACCCTGGGTTCATCAAGAAGGTGCGGTTACCTCAGCTGGAGCAGGGGAAAGTCTGGTACAAGACTGTCTGCAGGAAGGACTGCAACAGTACCAAGCCGATCCCTGTAGCACAGCTTGGCGTTCATTCCATGACTCCAGTAGCATAATTTCCTGACTCTACAGACAGGAAGAAGCGTGCTGGCCCCTCAGGGCATCATGGGGGCTGGCAAACACTTTGCAAGTATCACAGGGTAGAAGTAGGATGAGCACCGGACCCAGAGTCGTGGGTCTTAAGTTCAAACCCTGCCTGTGCTGTCCATGACTCTGTCCCTGGGGAACCAGCTCAGCTGAGCGTCTGTGACATTGGGTGGAATGGCCTTCATCACACAGTGGGGTGACTGGAAGTCTTCTTATCTTCTTGATATTGGGTCCTGATTGAACGTTTCACACTCCTGTTTCAGGGATGAGCATGTGGCATCACGGGCAATAGTCCCGAAGGAATTCCATTTGATGGACTTGTCCTTCTTTGCCCTAAGGACCTCAGCATTTCCCTCAGCAGACCACCGAAGGACAGTGATGAAGAAAGAGTACTAAGAAGTCTTGGGAGTGCTTTGCTGACCCTTCCTGATCCCAGTGAGATCAGGAAAGCATGGCATCTGGCCGTCCTGAGCTGGTGGGAAGAGTCAAGAGACAGCAGTGCATACAAGCCTGCTCCATGCTCTCGCACACAAAGACCTGCCATAATTGTTTTTTGAGGCAGTCTCTACATAGCCCTTGTGTCCTGGAACTCGCTCATAGAGATCTCCCTGTCTTTGCCTCTCAAATGCTGGGATTAAAAGTGTGTGCCACCATGCCTGGCTTGCCATAGTTTTGTAAAATGTTAATTGATTGATTTTTTAAAAAGTATGTTTTTAATTGAAATAAAATCACTGTACTTTCACTCCTCCCTTTCCTCCCTTAAACTCTGTCCATGTTCTTTCCACTCTCATTGACAGTCTCTTTTCCTTGATTATTATTGCTATGTTCATATAGGTACATATTGCACAAGTATGTAAATACAACATGCTGAGTGTGTTGTTGTTAGTCTGTGTATGGCTTCAGGGCTGACCATTATGTGTTGAACAACTAATAAGAGAGCTCGTCCCTGGGAGAGGCTAATTCTCCTCCCAACAATCATTAGTTGCTCGAAGTTCTTTGCCTAGGAATGGGACTCTGAAAAATTTCCTCTTCCAGTCTTACCTATGCAACCATTTCTAGGAAACACTGTTTCACAGCATAGTTCCTGGTACTCTGACTCTTGCAATCTTTCAGCCCCATCTTCCACAGTATTCCCTGAGGCATAGATGCAGGAGCTATGATACATAGATGCCATCCATTAGGGCTGAGCTCCCGATGATCTGTTGTGGTTTTCTGTGATGGTGTCCGTTTGCAGTAAAGACAGACTTCTTTGTGAAGGGTGGTAGCTACACTTATCTGTGGGCATAAGGATAAGATTTAGGATGTAGTAAGGAATTACATCCTTACACTTTGCCAGCATAGCTAAGCAGCAGTAATAGATGCTTTTCTAAGGCCCATGACCACACTGGCCCTGGGAAGCTAGGCAATCTAAATGAACTAGAGAGTTCTAAATAGAATAAATAAAAATCACTAAGAAATACCTCAGAAGGTGTTCACCATTCTTTGCAATTAGGGGAATACAAACTAAAACAGTCCAGGCATGATTTCTCTCCTGCTGAGTGGACCTTAAGTACAGTTTCACAACTATCAGTTACCATTGACATGTGAGTGCCACTTACAGGACTTCACAGATATTTTGCCATGTTGGTCATTGCCATGGTTTGTAAGATATTGCAGGTATATAGAATAGTGTAACCACTTCCCTCCTTTGGCAACTTGCATAGTGTTTTCTGGTACCATGGAAGCTAGACCATGGGAAATCATGAAATTTGCAGGTAAATGGACAGAACTAGAAAAGATTATACTGAGTGAGGTAACCCAGACCCAGAAAGACAAAGGCTCCATGTTCTTGGTCACTTGCAGTTGCTAGCTTCAAACCCTCAGATGTAAGTACAGAGTAACCACAGAAACCAGGAAAACATAAAGGCAACGTAAGTAGGATTTAAGTGGGAGCCTGGGGGGAGTCGGGGAGGAGTTGGGCCTGTGAGGGGAATAGCAGTACACAGATGTTATGAAGTGAGAGATGGAAAAATGGGGGAGGGAGCTCCAACTGGAGAGGAGGGAGGAAGGTCAACACAGGAGAGAGATGAGGGACAAGAAGTGCCAAGGCTGCTGATGAAGCCACAGGAATCATACTATTTACCTACCTAAAATAATACGTAGTATATATAAGCGTACACATGCCGCGCCTGCTGTGCAATCAGTATCCGAGAATGTGAAGGGGGTATTGGGATTGATGACACAGAGACCAGAAGGCTCCTCAAGAAGGCTCTCCTTTATTCCTACCCTGGCTGGTTATTATATACCCTGACACCAGAGGTGGAGGTGGGTGTGTCTGAAGAGGCGGTTAGTCTTTGGAAAAGGTCGAGGTCAGGGTGTTCCTGTGGATGAGCCCTTTTCAGGAACTTATTGGGACCGGTCATTGTATTGTTTTTAGTAAACATTGTCTCACAGCTGCCTGGTCCCGGGCTGATGGGAAAGTGGGTCTCTGGCCAAGGTCTGTTGTATACACACACACACACACACACACACAGTTAAACTAGTTGGGCTGACAATGCTCCTCACAAGAATGTACTAATTTATCTATTTGATGTGTATAGGTGTTTTTGGCTGCATGTGTGTCTGTGTAACCTACATACCTGATATCTTTAGCAGTCAGAAGAGGTTGCCAGATCTCTTGGAACTAGAGTTACAGATGGAGCTGCCATGTAGGTGCTGGGAATTGAACCAGCATCCTTGGTAATAGCAGCCAGTGCTCTTAACCACTGAGATATCTCTCCAGCCACAAATTGCCATAGTTGGGATGACACATTGACTTAGTTTAGTGCTGTGAGATAGCCATTCACTTCCGATATTACAATTTAGTCAGTCAATGCCGCATCTTTTTGAAGATTAAATTCAGATCTCATACATAAAAAGCAAACACTACCAACTGAGATGCGGCTCCCAGTTTATAAAATGAACCATTTTTGCTTGTTTGTTTGTTTGTTTGGAGACAGGGTCTCACTATGCAGCTCTACTATCTTGTGAGTCACTGTATAACAGGCTGGCCCCAAACACTCACCAAGGTCCACTTGTCTCTGCTTCCAGAACGCTCTGCTGGGATTAAAAGTGTGTGCCATTGCCTCTGGCCATTTTTAGTTTTTTTTTTGTTTTTACGACACAGGGTTTCTCTGTATTGTTTTGGAGGCTGTCGGTCCAGCCCAGCCTTGAACTCACAGAGATCCGCCTGCCTCTGCCTCCTGAGTGCTGGGACTAAAGGCATGCGCCACCACTGCCCGGCCACTTTTAGTTTTTAAGAGGCTCCTAAATGTAGTGGCCAGTTTCAGGACACTATTCTCCTCCAAAGTGAGTATATATTTTATGAACTTTTATATATTGTTTCAATTATAGTAGCTTATTATGTATATTTTAATTAAATCTCTTCTTTGGCAGTTCCATGCATTTATATAATGCATTCTTATCTCTCTCCCACCCTGTCAACTTCTCTTCCTCCTCCCTACAAACCCTCAAATTCTTACCTTTTTTTTTTTGTCACCCCCTGAGTATGACCAGGACCATCATTGTGAATGTGGGTTTGAGACTATCCACTGGAGCCCGGTGAGCTCCTCAGTGGGTATGCAATAGAAGATATTGACCCCCGCCTCACAGAATCTATTGATAGTTCAATGGGGAGGACTAGGACCCCATTGTCTGCCCCATCCACATCTGACTGCTGACCAGCCCGTCTTGCTGAGACCCAGGTAGCTGCTGTAAGTTCATGATTGCAATGGCTGTCATACCCCGAAGGTGGCAATGGGCAGGCCCTCTGTCTTCTGGCTCTTCTGTGCTATAGTGTATTATATATTTTGTGTGTCACAGAATTCTTACCTCACTTCTCTTCTTTTTGATGTCTGCCTTTACTATTCTTGCATGTTTTCCTCTTCAAATATTAGTCAGTCAGTTACACAGGGAGATTTCTCTTTGATGGTAGTTGATGCTGAATTAGATGAAACTGGGAAGGTTGACATTTGTATCATATTTAATCCTCCCATCAGGGAACACGATCTGTTTTATATATTCATAGTTTCCAGTAAAATGCATACACACACACACACATTATTTATACTCCTATCTGTGTAGGTCCTGCTCTGTTTTGTTGGATTTACTCCAGCCAAGGGGTTGAGTTGCTATCATGATTGACACCTGTCTTTGTATATTATAATTCACCATAGCTGATAGCTGGGAGGTTTATACAGGCAGGCAGCCCCTTAATGGATTTGATTTGTTTTGTTTTGTGACCTAGTTTTTCTTTAGGTTGTTAGTTCAATTTTCTAGATAGAAAGTCCCATTGTTTGACAGCATTTCATGGTAAATCCTGATTCTTCTCTGTTTCCTACCCTGTTATTCCTGTCTTCTGTGGCTTTCTCATTTGTTTGGATTATTTTGTGTAATTAAAAATAGGTTTTACTTTAAATCACTATTATTTTTATTTTTTTATTAACAGGAACATTTGTCAAAATTACCCATGGAGGTTTTAAACCTTGCCCTCAGAAAAAGCTACAATCAGAGTTGGCATTTGTTTTTATCACCCGGGGATCAAATAGAGAGTTTTGAGCAGACTAGGCAAACACTCTGCTGAGCTACAGCCCAGCCCTGAATCCATGGTTTTCTTTTGATTTTGAGATGGGATCTTGTGTGACCCAGGTTGTCCCTAGCTCACAGTCTCCACTGGTCTCCTGAGTGCTGAGATTACACATGTGCACCTCCAAGGTGGTTTTGTTGTTATTTTTCAGTATTAGTATTTAAACTCAGCTTAGCACTCCACCATAGAGCTACATCCTAGGCCCCAACCAGACAGTCTTTGAAAGTTCTTCAGGAAGCTTTGTTGTTGACACACACAATGTGTTTGAAGCCTGGCTGGACTGGAAGTCAGCAAATAGCTCAGGCTACCTCTCCTCAGCCACAGTCCTGCTCAGTCTCCTGGGTGTTAGGATTGCAAGCACCAGCCTTTGGACTTTCCAGGTAGCTCTGATGTGTCCTTTCTGTTGAGGCCCTGACTTGACGGGGCGTTGTGAGGTCCCATTTTTGCTTCTTTCCACTTCTCTGGGAATGCTAGGCACTTCTCTTGCAGTTTCCTGACAGTAGTGGAGAACCTGGCTCCAGGTTTTCTTGGCGTTTGCATTGGGTTTTTTATTTTATTTTTCAGTGAAGTTTCCTTTTCCCTTTCAGTTCCGTTTCTGACTTGCTCTCTTGGCCTTCACCTGAGATCCAGGCTCTGATGCTCCTGGGGTCTCTGCACTTGGCAGGGTGATACTCTTCTTGCCACAGGTGTGTGGGGACCAGGACTCTTGTTTGGAGACCTCCCTTCATGTGGCATACTTCTGCATCTTGTCACTTTCTTAGCTGTGGTACTAGTTGGGAATTTCATTCATGGATTCATCTGCCACTTTAGGTTGGGCTTGTCCAGTGATTTGTCCTTCTGGGACCCAGGGTCTTTTGTCACTGATTTTATGTGCCATGTCGCTTTGAGGTAGGGTCAATGAAGCTTCTTAGTCTTTTGCATCAATTTTTCTTCTTCAACTTATTTTCAGTGATGTTTTATCTCTTTCTTTTTTCTCTGTGACTTTTCTTCAGACCGTGGAAGGGTAGTATATGGCTTTCACCCTGACAGCTGACAGATGAGGAGAGGGAA